TTTTATTCAAATTACGCTTCTACACAAATTTTCAAATTAAAATGTAAAGCGATTCTACGCGATTTTGAAATAATATCTCACCTTTCCGACAACCTACTGATTAGCACGAATTTTTCAAGACTAGGACTGGCCAAATCGGTTCAGCCGTTTTCGAGTTTTAGCGAATCATTTGATCGAGAGCTCCATTTTTATATATAAGATTAGCATAATAATTGACTGCTTTTGATGAATTAAATCAGTTTTTGTATAATTTTTTTTTATAATTTTTCTGTATCTTTTCGTTTTTGCAAATTCAAAGCAAAATGTAATTTATATTTTTTATTTAATAAATTTAATTAATTTAATTGCAACTAAAGAATGTAGTTCAAATAATTAACCTAATAATTCAAAATAATAAAACAACTGCATTCAATAAAGTTATAAATATATTTTGTTATACATAATCTAATTATTAAAATTATTTTTAGGTCAAAACTTACTTGCTCCAGTTTATATAAAAAAGCAGGCCAAACATTGGTGATATCGAGAAGACCCTGGCGAGAAGGTTTGCTGATCTCTACTCCAAAGGATGGGCAGTTCTGTTCTTTCCAATCGAGAGTTTCACACAAAGGTAGGGAATTCAAATTTTCAGCTATATTTGAACAATGCTATAGGGATTTTCAAGTTTTAGTACATAAGTATAGAATTGAATTATGATAATAATGACCATGCAATATACAAAATGCATACAAAATAGGCGTTTACAAAAACGCCAGGCACACTTTTTAGTGCCCCTGTAGGGATTTTCAGGTCTTAGTTTATAAGTATAGAATTGAAAAATAATAATAATGGCCATGAAATGTACAAAATGCATACAAAATAGGCGTTTACAAAAACGCCAGGCACACTTTTTAGTGCCCCTGTAGGGATTTTCAGGTATTAGTTTATAAGTATAGAATTGAAAAATAATAATAATGGCCATGAAATATACAAAATGCATACAAAATAGGCATTTACAAAAACGCCAGGCACACTTTTTAGTGCCCCTGTAGGGATTTTCAGGTATTACTTTATAAGTATAGAATTGAAAAATAATAATAATGGCCATGAAATATACAAAATGCATACAAAATAGGCGTTTACAAAAACGCCAGGCACACTTTTTAGTGCCCCTGTAGGGATTTTCAGGTCTTAGTTTATAAGTATAGAATTGAAAATAAATAATAATGGCCATGAAATATACAAAATGCATACAAAATAGGCGTTTACAAAAACGCCAGGCACACTTTTTAGTGCCCCTGTAGGGATTTTCAGGTCTTAGTTTATAAGTATAGAATTGAAAAATAATAATAATGGCCATGAAATATACAAAATGCATACAAAATAGGCGTTTACAAAAACGCCAGGCACACTTTTTAGTGCCCCTGTAGGGATTTTCAGGTATTAGTTTATAAGTATAGAATTGAAAAATAATAATAATGGCCATGAAATATACAAAATGCATACAAAATAGGCGTTTACAAAAACGCCAGGCACACTTTTTAGTGCCCCTGTAGGGATTTTCAGCTCTTAGTTTATAAGTATAGAATTGAAAAATAATAATAATGGCCATGAAAATATACAAAATGCATACAAAATAGGCGTTTACAAAACGCCAGGCACTCTTTTTAGTGCCCCTGTAGGGATTTTCAGGTATTACTTTATAAGTATAGAATTGAAAAATAATAATAATGGCCATGAAATATACAAAATGCATACAAAATAGGCGTTTACAAAAACGCCAGGCACACTTTTTAGTGCCCCTATAGGGATTTTCAGGTATTACTTTATAAGTATAGAATTGAAAAATAATAATAATGGCCATGAAATATACAAAATGCATACAAAATAGGCGTTTACAAAAACGCCAGGCACACTTTTTAGTGCCCCTATAGGGATTTTCAGGTATTAGTTTATAAGTATAGATTGAAAAATAATAATAATGGCCATGAAATATACAAAATGCATACAAAATAGGCATTTACAAAAAAAACGCCAGGCACACTTTTTAGTGCCCCTGTAGGGATTTTCAGGTATTACTTTATAAGTATAGAATTGAAAAATAATAATAATGGCCATGAAATATACAAAATGCATACAAAATAGGCGTTTACAAAAACGCCAGGCACACTTTTTAGTGCCCCTGTAGGGATTTTCAGGTATTACTTTATAAGTATAGAATTGAAAAATAATAATAATGGCCATGAAATATACAAAATGCATACAAAATAGGCGTTTACAAAAACGCCAGGCACACTTTTTAGTGCCCCTGTAGGGATTTTCAGGTCTTAGTTTATAAGTATAGAATTGAAAAATAATAATAATGGCCATGAAATATACAAAATGCATACAAAATAGGCGTTTACAAAAACGCCAGGCACACTTTTTAGTGCCCCTGTAGGGATTTTCAGGTATTACTTTATAAGTATAGAATTGAAAAATAATAATAATGGCCATGAAATATACAAAATGCATACAAAATAGGCGTTTACAAAAACGCCAGGCACACTTTTTAGTGCCCCTGTAGGGATTTTCAGGTCTTAGTTTATAAGTATAGAATTGAAATAATATAATAATGACCATGAAATATACAAAATAGGGGTATACTCTCGAGTGCACCTGTAGGGATTTTCGCGTCTTATCTTATAAGCGTATAACTGAAATATAATAATGGCCATGCAATATACGATTGGCACTCTCGAGTGTTATCTTTTTTGTGCTCAAAACCTTTCCTTTCCCTACAAACCCCTACCTATTCAATAGTTTATATTTTTGGAATTCATTCCAATTTTAAAGATAAAGATTTAGTATTTATAGTAAATATAAAATAGTATTTATAAAACATTTTCTTAGTTATATATATATATATATATTATATATATATATATTTTTTGTTATTTCAATTCAGAACCTAAATTTGATATCGATCAAACGGACATTCCAATCTCAATATTTTTTTTTTTTTTTTTTTTTTTAAATTTTTATTTTCAATAGCAATCAGAATACATGACTATTCCAATCTCAATATATCCTCACTTTTCAATTTCAAGTTTTTTTTTTTATAAAACTTCCAATCCCAACACATCCTCACTTTTCAATTTCAAGTTTTTTTTTATAAAACTTTCAATCCCAACACATCCTCACTTTTCAATATTTTTCAACAATAATAATTTGTATATGACTATATAAGTGCTATTAACAAGATGCATGCAAAATAAACAAATAATTAAGTAAGGCATCCCCGTGTGCAAATTTACGGTTATTCAGGTCTTAGAGATAACACCCCAGTATATAGGTTAAGGACTTAAATATACGAATAATTTACATGCCATATACAAAATAAGCGTATACATAAATAATTAAGTCAGGCTCTCACGATTGCAAATGTACGGTTATACAGGTCTTAGAAATAACACCCCAGTATATAAGCGTATACATAAATAATTAAGTCGGGCACTCACGTGTGCAAATGTACGGTTATTCAGGTCTTAGAGATAACACCCCAGTATATAGGTTAAGGACTTAAATATACGAATAATGAACATGCCATATACAAAAACATAAACTTCTCCTTCGGGAAGTTAATAAGCGTATACATAAATACTTATGTAGGGCACTCACAAGTGCAAATGTACAAATATGCATGTTTTAAGGATTACACCTAGTTAAGGACTTAAATATACAAATAATGAACATGCATGCCATATACAAAATAAGCGTATACATAAATAATTAAGTCGGGCACTCACGTGTGCAAATGTACGGTTATTCAGGTCTTAGAGATAACACCCCAGTATATAAGTTAAGGACTTAAATATACGAATAATGAACATGCATGCCATATACAAAATAAGCGTATACATAAATAATTAAGTCGGGCACTCACGTGTGCAAATGTACGGTTATTCAGGTCTTAGAGATAACACCCCAGTATATAAGTTAAGGACTTAAATATACGAATAATTTACATGCCATATACAAAATAAGCGTATACATAAATAATTAAGTCGGGCACTCACGTGTGCAAATGTACGGTTATTCAGGTCTTAGAGATAACACCCCAGTATATGAGTTAAGGACTTAAATATACGAATAATTTACATGCCATATACAAAATAAGCGTATACATAAATAATTAAGTCGGGCACTCACGTGTGCAAATGTACGGTTATTCAGGTCTTAGAGATAACACCCCAGTATATAAGTTAAGGACTTAAATATACGAATAATGAACATGCATGCCATATACAAAATAAGCGTATACATAAATAATTAAGTCGGGCACTCACGTGTGCAAATGTACGGTTATTCAGGTCTTAGAGATAACACCCCAGTATATAAGTTAAGGACTTAAATATACGAATAATTTACATGCCATATACAAAATAAGCGTATACATAAATAATTAAGTCGGGCACTCACGTGTGCAAATGTACGGTTATTTAGGTCTTAGAGATAACACCCCAGTATATAAGTTAAGGACTTAAATATACGAATAATTCACATGCCATATACAAAATAAGCGTATACATAAATAATTAAGTCGGGCACTCACGTGTGCAAATGTACGGTTATTCAGGTCTTAGAGATAACACCCCAGTATATAAGTTAAGGACTTAAATATACGAATAATGAACATGCATGCCATATACAAAATAAGCGTATACATAAATAATTAGTCGGGCACTCACGTGTGCAAATTTACGGTTATTCAGGTCTCAGAGATAACACCCCAGTATATAAGTTAAGGACTTAAATATACGAATAATTTACATGCCATATACAAAATAAGCGTATACATAAATAATTAAGTCGGGCACTCACGTGTGCAAATGTACGGTTATTCAGGTCTTAGAGATAACACCCCAGTATATAAGTTAAGGACTTAAATATACGAATAATTTACATGCCATATACAAAATAAGCGTATACATAAATAATTAAGTCGGGCACTCACGTGTGCAAATGTACGGTTATTCAGGTCTTAGAGATAACACCCCAGCATGTAGGTTAAGGACTTGATTATACGAATAATGAACATGCATGCCATATACAAAATAAGCGTATACATAAATAATTAAGTCGGGCACTCACGTGTGCAAATGTACGGTTATTCAGGTCTTAGAGATAACACCCCAGTATATAAGTTAAGGACTTAAATATACGAATAATTTACATGCCATATACAAAATATATTTATAAATGCACACGCACACATATATAAATATTAATATATATATATATATATATATATATATATATATAATTTTCAATCAACTCTAACCTTGAATATCATTCTCAGGTGATGATATCGTCTTATTCCTACAAGCCTGAATGCTCCAGCTCGGATAAATTACTGCAAGCAGTCGAACAATTCTACTTATAATACAAAAGCTACATGAACGAAGATGCTGTAAAGGTAAGATTTTTTTTATCATATACATGCAATATGCAAAATGGCACTTTTGAGTGCACCTGTAGGGATTTTCAGGTCTTAGTTTATAAGTGTAGAATTGAAAAATAATAATAATGGCCATGAAATATACAAAATGACTTAAATATACAAATGATGAACATGCCATATACAAAATAAGCGTATACATAAATACTTATGTAGGGCACTCACAAGTGCAAATGTACAAATATGCATGTTTTAAGGATTACACCTAGTTAAGGACTTAAATATACAAATAATGAACATGCATGCCATATACAAAATAAGCGTATACATAAATAATTAAGTCCCGCACTCACGTGTGCAAATGTACGGTTATTCAGGTCTTAGAGATAACACCCCAGTATATAAGTTAAGGACTTAAATATACAAATAATGAACATGCCATATACAAAATAAGCGTATACATAAATACTTATGTAGGGCACTCACGAGTGCAAATGTACAAATATGCATGTTTTAAGGATTACACCTAGTTAAGGACTTAAATATACAAATAATGAACATGCATGCCCTATACAAAATAAGCGTATACATAAATACTTATGTAGGGCACTCACGAGTGCAAATGTACAAATATGCATGTTTTAAGGATTACACCTAGTTAAGGACTTAAATATACAAATAATGAACATGCATGCCATATACAAAATAAGCGTATACATAAATACTTATGTAGGGCACTCACGAGTGCAAATGTACAAATATTCATGTTTTAAGGATTACACCTAGTTAAGGACTTAAATATACAAATAATGAACATGCATGCCATATACAAAATAAGCGTATACATAAATACTTATGTAGGGCACTCACGAGTGCAAATGTACAAATATTCATGTTTTAAGGATTACCCTTAGTATATAAGTTAAGGACTTAAATATACAAATAATGAACATGCATGCCATATACAAAATAAGCGTATACATAAATACTTATGTAGGGCACTCACGAGTGCAAATGTACAAATATTCATGTTTTAAGGATTACACCTAGTTAAGGACTTAAATATACAAATAATGAACATGCATGCCATATACAAAATAAGCGTATACATAAATATTATGTAGGCACTCACGAGTGCAAATGTACAAATATTCATGTTTTAAGATTACCCTAGTATATAAGTAAGGACTTAAATATACAAATAATGAACATGCATGCCATATACAAAATAAGCGTATACATAAATACTTATGTAGGGCACTCACGAGTGCAACTGTACAAATATTCATGTTTTAAGGATTACACCTAGTTAAGGACTTAAATATACAAATAATGAACATGCATGCCATATACAAAATAAGCGTATACATAAATACTTATGTAGGGCACTCACGAGTGCAAATGTACAAATATGCATGTTTTAAGGATTACACCTAGTTAAGGACTTAAATATACAAATAATGAACATGCATGCCATATACAAAATAAGCGTATACATAAATACTTATGTAGGGCACTCACGAGTGCAAATGTACAAATATTCATGTTTTAAGGATTACACCTAGTTAAGGACTTAAATATACAAATAATGAACATGCATGCCATATACAAAATAAGCGTATACATAAATACTTATGTAGGGCACTCACGAGTGCAAATGTACAAATATTCATGCTTTAAGGATTACCCTTAGTATATAAGTTAAAGACTTAAATATACAAATAATGAACATGCATGCCATATACAAAATAAGCGTATACATAAATACTTATGTAGGGCACTCACGAGTACAAATGTACAAATATGCATGTTTTAAGGATTACACCTAGTTAAGGACTTAAATATACAAATAATGAACATGCATGCCATATACAAAATAAGCGTATACATAAATACTTATGTAGGGCACTCACGAGTGCAAATGTACAAATATTCATGTTTTAATGATAACACCTAGTTAAGGACTTAAATATACAAATAATGAACATGCATGCCATATACAAAATAAGCGTATACATAAATACTTATGTAGGGCACTCACGAGTGCAAATGTACAAATATTCATGTTTTAGGATTACCCTAGTAAGGACTTAAATATACAAATAATGAACATGCATGCCATATACAAAATAAGCGTATACATAAATACTTATGTAGGGCACTCACGAGTGCAAATGTACAAATATGCATGTTTTAAGGATTACCTAGTTAAGGACTTAAATATACAAATAATGAACATGCATGCCATATACAAAATAAGCGTATACATAAATACTTATGTAGGGCACTCACGAGTGCAAATGTACAAATATTCATGTTTTAAGGATTACACTAGTTAAGGACTTAAATATACAAATAATGAACATGCATGCCATATACAAAATAAGCGTATACATAAATACTTATGTAGGCACTCACGAGTGCAAATGTACAAAATGCATGTTTTAAGGATTACACCTAGTTAGGACTTAAATATACAAATAATGAACATGCATGCCATATACAAAATAAGCGTATACATAAATACTTATGTAGGGCACTCACGAGTGCAAATGTACAAATATGCATGTTTTAAGGATTACATAGTTAAGGACTTAAATATACAAATAATGAACATGCCATATACAAAATAAGCGTATACATAAATAATTAAGTAGGGCACTCACGAGTGCAAATGTACAAATATTCATGTTTTAATGATAACACCTAGTTAAGGACTTAAATATACAAATAATGAACATGCATGCCATATACAAAATAAGCGTATACATAAATACTTATGTAGGGCACTCACGAGTGCAAATGTACAAATATTCATGTTTTAAGGATTACACCTAGTTAAGGACTTAAATATACAAATAATGAACATGCATGCCATATACAAAATAAGCGTATACATAAATACTTATGTAGGGCACTCACGAGTGCAAATGTACAAATATGCATGTTTTAAGGATTACACCTAGTTAAGGACTTAAATATACAAATAATGAACATGCATGCCATATACAAAATAAGCGTATACATAAATACTTATGTAGGGCACTCACGAGTGCAAATGTACAAATATGCATGTTTTAAGGATAACACCTAGTTAAGGACTTAAATATACAAATAATGAACATGCATGCCATATACAAAATAAGCGTATACATAAATACTTATGTAGGGCACTCACGAGTGCAAATGTACAAATATTCATGTTTTAAGGATTACACCTAGTTAAGGACTTAAATATACAAATAATGAACATGCATGCCATATACAAAATAAGCGTATACATAAATACTTATGTAGGGCACTCACGAGTGCAAATGTACAAATATTCATGTTTAAGGTTACCCTAGTAGATAAGTTAAGGACTTAAATATACAAATAATGAACATGCATGCCATATACAAAATAAGCGTATACATAAATACTTATGTAGGGCACTCACGAGTGCAAATGTACAAATATTCATGTTTTAAGGATTACACCTAGTTAAGGACTTAAATATACAAATAATGAACATGCATGCCATATACAAAATAAGCGTATACATAAATACTTATGTAGGCACTCACGAGTGCAAATGTACAAATATGCATGTTTTAAGGATTACACCTAGTTAAGGACTTAAATATACAAATAATGAACATGCATGCCATATACAAAATAAGCGTATACATAAATACTTATGTAGGGCACTCACGAGTGCAAATGTACAAATATTCATGTTTTAAGGATTACACCTAGTATATAAGTTAAGGACTTAAATATACAAATAATGAACATGCATGCCATATACAAAATAAGCGTATACATAAATACTTATGTAGGCACTCACGAGTGCAAATGTACAAAATAGCATGTTTTAAGGATAACACCTAGTTAAGGACTTAATCTTACAAATAATGAACATGCATGCCATATACAAAATAAGCGTATACATAAATACTTATGTAGGGCACTCACGAGTGCAAATGTACAAATATGCATGTTTTAAGGATTACACCTAGTAAGGACTTAAATATACAAATAATGAACATGCATGCCATATACAAAATAAGCGTATACATAAATACTTATGTAGGGCACTCACGAGTGCAAATGTACAAAATGCAGTTTTAAGGATTACACCTAGTTAAGGACTTAAATATACAAATAATGAACATGCATGCCATATACAAAATAAGCGTATACATAAATAATTAAGTCAGGCACTCACGAGTGCAAATGTACAAATATTCATGTTTAATGATAACACCTAGTTAAGGATTTAAATATACAAATATTGAACATGCATGCCATATACAAAATAAGCCTATACATAAATAATTAAGTCAGGCACTCACGAGTGCAAATGTACAAATATGCATGTTTTAACGATTACACCTAGTTAAGGACTTAAATATACAAATAATGAACATGCATGCCATATACAAAATAAGCATATACATAAATAATTAAGTCAAGGCACTCACGAGTGCAAATGTACAAATATTCATGTTTTAATGATAACCCTAGTTAAGGACTTAAATATACAAATAATGAACATGCATGCCATATACAAATAAGCGTATACATAAATACTTATGTAGGGCACTCACGAGTGCAAATGTACAAATATGCATGTTTTAAGGATTACACCTAGTTAAGGACTTAAATATACAAATAATGAACATGCATGCCATATACAAAATAAGCGTATACATAAATACTTATGTAGGGCACTCACGAGTGCAAATGTACAAATATGCATGTTTTAAGGATTACACCTAGTATATAAGTTAAGGACTTAAATATACAAATAATGAACATGCATGCCATATACAAAATAAGCGTATACATAAATACTTATGTAGGGCACTCACGAGTGCAAATGTACAAATATGCATGTTTTAAGGATTACACCTAGTTAAGGACTTAAATATACAAATAATGAACATGCATGCCATATACAAAATAAGCGTATACATAAATACTTATGTAGGGCACTCACGAGTGCAAATGTACAAATATGCATGTTTTAAG